CAATTCCCAATCAGTGTTGAATGCCGTTCGCCTTGACCATTTTACAATGCGATACAGCAGCACATGTTTGACATCCTTTTGGCCCGATGTCAAAAGATTGTCATTGATTTCATTTCTTGGCTTTAGATTGTTGTGCAGGATTGTTCAAGATGAAAATAAGGATGACGATGATGATAATTACGATGTTGATGATATGATGGCTGCTCCAGGCTGTGAATTTAGTAAAAATAAACATTGTTGACATTTTGCTATTTGTGTGGGTGGCAGTGGTGGTGGCGGTGGCGGTGGTTTCTTTGTGAGCGGCAACGACAGCAGCCACAGCCAAATACTTAAAGCCAAGTTGCATCGTTTGATCTGTCATTAGGAAAGATTCAAAGTGCAATTTTGGGTATCACCAGCCTCGGCATCGGCATCATCGGTAATCGTAGAAGCGAAGCAGCAGCATTGATGTTCCGGGGGCTATGTATTCTGTGACAATAAGCATTGTTGTTGTTTTTGGGAGGAGGAAGAGCAAGGGTGTTTGGCTTTGTGTGCGGTTAGTGAATACAAAAAGTGGCAGATAATTGCCATGACATTAGCAATAGAATGGAATTCTAGATAATGTTTGGTTACCTGATTTAGCATTATGAGATTCTCTCAAATAGATATTCATGTTTGTTTGTGTGTGTATGTGTGTACACAATTCCGTACGAAAGCATAGCTGCCTTTGTTGTGCTTCCTTTTCCCGTGTTTTGTTATTTTCATCAAGAAGAGATTAAAATGTAATACAAAAATAACCTTAACCTTTAGAACTAGGGATTATTTTGTGGAATGTCCTTAAGCTCCTCCAAAAAGGTACCACTAACACAGAAATAAAGTAAATATGTACACACACGTGTGTGTGTGTTTGTGTGTGTCTGACAATGTAGATGACAATGGTATTTAGTCATATCCTTGTGCTGTTGGAAGAATAGATTTTGAACATCTGAAGGACACTCTGCTGCTGGTGCTGCCTCTGCTTTTCGGTTAGCTCGTAAATTTCTATTTAAAGTTGCGTGTGTTGAATTTTTAAACAATGTTCGCCATTAAAATGTGAATATTAAAATTGTCCATCTGCAGTGAGAATATTTGATTTGGAAACAAATACATATGGTGTTCTTCGTTTTTTTTTTTTTGGAATTTTAAAGAAGATTTTTTTATTCATATTCTTGGGAATGGTAAAATCGAAATAACGTTGATACATTTTTATGACATTCGTATGATTCTTTAATTAGAAATGTTTTTGATTTGTTTTTAAATATGCTTAAAACTTATTTGAAATTGTAGAATAATAATATAATATATTTACACATATGTGTTTATTTTAATATGGAATTTTAATGGATTTAATATGGAATGGATTAAGGAAAAAGGCGTCACAGGCTATTTCATTACTCAGAAGTTCACAACAGTAGCAATGAAAAGTAGAGCGGACTCTACAAATAGAGCAAATAAATCTTAATCGAAGTTTGAACTACATTTTAGTGCTGATTTTTTTTTTTCGCAGATTATACAAAAATTAACTTAAACTTCTTATACACTTAAAGGTCTTATACAATACCTTTCTGAAAGAATATATCGGCATGTATATACCCCAGCCTTGAGTTATGAATATTCAAACTGTTGACCCTTCATGGGGGAGGTTCCAAAGCAGTTGACCAATATTGATCAATTAGAGAGTGGGGAAGTACCAGAAAGAGTTCCCCGATATATCACCATCTTCACAGCAGATCTTGTGTTATTATAAATTATTGCTTGAGTTTGGTTATTCATAATGTTGACCCTTTATGGGAGATAGGTACTGGAAGAAGTGGATCCATATATCCCATCCTCACAGCAGATCTTGTGTTAGTAGAAGTAATGAGATGTGTGATATTTGAAGAGAATTGGATGCTTATTTCAGATTTAATAATAGTTCTGGTTATTCGAAACGTTGACCCTTTGTGGGGGTGGTACCAGAAGGAATGGTCCGATCTCTACCATTTTTATAACAAATCTTGTGTTGGTGGAAATATTGAGAAGTACCAAGTTTGAATAAAATCGGATGTTAATTTCGGGTTGTATGAGCTTCATGGATATTCAAAATGATTACCTTTTCTTGGGGAGGTACTAGAAGGAATGGTCCGATCTCTACCATCTTTATAACAGAACTTGTGTTGATAAAAATATTGAGCAGAGCTAAGTCTGAATGAAATCGGGTGTTAATATCGCGTATTATGAGCTTCATAGATATTTAAAATTTTGAACCTTTGTGAGGGAGGATAAATTCCATCTTCATACCAGGCTTTGTATTAATAAAAATATTGTGATGTGTGTAATTTAAAGAGAATCGGACACTTCCATCACATTTTATAGGATTTGTAATTATTTAAAATGTTGACCCTTTGTGGTGGAGGTACTTGATGGAGTGGACCGATATTGTTTATTTTCGCACCTGACCTGGAACTTATCAAAATATTATGATTAAAGCAAAATCGGATAATCCTTTCTCTCTGTGCAGTAAAATATTTTCATTGAAAACTTACATCTTTGTGGGAGAGGTACTAGAAGGAGTGGACCGATAGTGCCCATTTCCGAATTCGATCTAAGTTTGATAATGATATTACGATGTTTGGATACTTCCTTCGAGTCTTATCGTGCACACCAGGCAAAGAGACAGACGGACGGACATCGCTAGATCGACTCCATATGAAACTCCTAAAACGGATGGGGTTCAAAGAAACCGTTATTTCGATGAGTTACGTTTTGGCCGTATCAAATGATATATACATTATCTAGCCATGTGGCTGAGGGTATAAAAATTCTAAATCTCAAAGTAAGCGTAGGATGAACTCGATATATTAACAATCTCGCACAACATATAATTTGTACCACAACAAATTTGAGTAAGAATCCTTCTGGTATCATCCCTTGGTAGGCCTGGTAAAACATAGGGGGTAAAGTAAACAAATTACCAAAACTTATTTTCCTCATTACGAACTGAGGAATAATGTCGGCAAATAGGTCTAGACGCAGAAAAAAATACCACGAGTTTTTGATATATATATAAGACTTCAATAACCTTAAATGCTGTAAACCGTGGAACAGTGTTTGGTGTGATTGTAATTTTGGTCCATTGTGATCATTCTGCGTGAAAAAGAAAAGGAAGAATTAATAAAAGTTAACAAGGAAAAAAGGCGATAAATCTTTGTAGAGAAGTAGAAAGAACGGAGAAAAGGCTTCGAAAAGAGTTGTGCTTTGCGCCAGAGCCAGTAAAGCATTTTGCTAAATTATAAATGACGTAGGCATTTGAATGCACACTGAGATCATGATCAGCTCCCCCAAAGGATTTCACTTGATACATCAGGGCGCAGTGGCATAAAACGTGTTCTGTTGTATTCGACGTTAGAGTTATTCCTCTTGGACGCTCCTGATCGGACGTTGCAGTGGCCTTTTAGTATCCCTATTGTTACTGACGCTTAATAGAGACTGAGTTATACGTGAGGAGATATCTGACCTGATTTATTTTACTTGCACCGTGGTTCGTTATACTGCTGCAGGGAGTTCCCGATTTGAGCCAAAATTTGGGCATCGCTATATCAACTTTTATTGCGACACCTATCAAATAGGGTCAACATTTTGAATAACGACAAATCGTATACCAAGCGTAGAGAGACAAAATTTGGTAATTTTTGAAGAAGAAGAACCGATTATTTTCACCCTTCTGGTAATGCAGATGTTAATTATTTAACATCATTCTTTAAAAAGTTATTCGGCTCATGCAACTCCCAAATGTTTGCTGGCTTAGGTATATTTCGAATACGGATCAATACAGTTCAACATCGCTCTTCTACTCTCTCCCGGTCCGCGTTGCCGGCCCGTACTTTTAGTCTTTATTGCATATTTTTGTTCACAGATCTGACTTATGTAAGCGGCACAATTTTTATTATTATGGAGTCTTTACCATAATAATTTCTGAATAGAAATAAATATTTATTGCAAAAATTATAATAGATGTTCACCAACGGTTTTAGATATTTTGAATAGCCTGCTTTTATTTTCAGCCATTGACTTTAAAATTTGAGTGTTAAAAATCTTTATGATATAGAACATTTATAATAACCCCATGATATAATTGGATACATTTCCAAAATCTAAGTGGAACAAATATTTCGTAATCACAAAATGGAAAATCATTCTCATTTGAAGTTGTATTGATGCATTCGTCAAAATACTTCTGGTATTTTTTAAATAAATGAATTTTCCATTAAAATATATATCTCAGGGGATAAACAATAACAATTCACTTTTTTGGGATGTTTTTTATTTGTTATTTAATGGAAAGTGTTTCCTGCCTTTGTTTTTAACTGTTACCTCTTTATATTAACATCTACAAATTTCTATGAAACTAAAAATTAATATCCTATTTCAATTACCTTCAACCTTATTCTCTTTAAAGGTTTTGGGAAGTGAAGCCAGTGATTTTCAATTTATTGATTGATTTTTTTTGGACTAAATTTTTTAATTAGGGAATTTTGTGTCCATATTGTTTGCAATACAAAGGTGTTGTTCGATATTTTTGGAAAATGTCCTTTATTATTTACGGGAATTTGTTTATTTATTTTAAATGAAGTCTTGGCATTGAAATGTCCATGAAAATGCCTTTGATATTAAAAAATGGTTTAGGTTTGATTAATATTAAATTTAGACACATTTAATTTATAGGGGTATCGAATGCCAGAGGATTAATTTTGGAAAATACATATTTTCGAACATCGACTCAAAATTCCAATTGATTTTCTAAGATTTTACGGGTACTCAAATGATTAGTTGTAAATAAATCAACTCCATTTATTTCCGAGCTCACAGAAATAAAATAAAAAAATAGAATTTTAAAACAATACTGTGTTTATTTGTTTTCAATTAATAATTATTTTTAATTTTTTATTTGTTTACCTGGAAAACATATTGTGCATAATTAACCAACTTCCATTCATTTTCAGGTCATACGCAACGATGAACAGACCTCTTTGATTGTTGATGGCGTTTCACAGAGTCGCACCACCAAGGGCAAGGAGTTTCAGTTCGGGAAATTTGCCACCAATTCCGATGTCTATGTCGGCGGCATGCCCAATTGGTACAGCACCAAATTGGCTCTGTTGGCCCTGCCCAGTGTCATCTTCGAACCAAGATTTCGCGGATCGATTCGGAATCTTGTCTATGCCGACCAACCGGGTGGTCAGACGCGGCGCCAAGAAATGAAACAGCCCCGCGACATCAAGTGCGGCGATGGGCCATGCGATCACAGCGAAATGCCCAAGGAAAAGGTGACGCGCAATTTGCGTGGCAGCAATATGACAGACGCCTGCGAACGCCATGATCCGTGCCAGCACGGTGGCATTTGCATATCAACCGATTCCGGCCCCATCTGCGAGTGCAGAAATCTAGAATACGATGGACAATATTGTGAAAAAGAAAAGGCCCCGTCGGAGGCGACTTTTCGCGGTACACAGTTCCTTTCATATGATCTCGGTCAGACGGGTGCTGAACCTATTGTCAGTGCCCAGGATGCCATAACATTATATTTTCGCACCAGACAACCAAATGGTTTACTATTTTATACGGGTAAGTCACAATTCACTCACACACACACATACATACATTGGTAATTGTTGTTCTAGATTTGGGGGGTTTGGGGTGTTCAGTGTAGTCAGAGTTCAGCTGATAATCGTGGTGTTTAGCTACGAGCAAAAGGTCAACTGTAATTATAATAAGTAATGACTAACCAAAGCGTTTTGTTTGTTTTTTTTTTTTTGCTTTTTGTTTCATTGTTGTTGTCGTTGCTGTTATGGCATTTTAATTGCTTCATTGTCGAATCAACGACGAACAACAGGACACGGCACTGATTACTTGAATTTGGCTTTGCGTGATGGCGGTGTTTCCCTAACCATGGGCCTGGCCAATGGCAAACAGGAAATGCACATCAAACCCTCGAAAATACGTTTCGATGATCATCAATGGCACAAGGTTACGGTGCATCGCCGCATTCAGGAAATCTCTTCGATTACCAGTTTTTGTCGGGTAAGTTTGGAAACAGATTAAATAAATATTGAATGTGTGATGTCAAAATGGAAATGAGAGTTTCAAAGTAAAATAACTCTCTTTTTCACTCTTCGCAGCTTGTTACGGTTGTTGACGATGTCTATACGGATCATTCGCACATCGCTGGCAAGTTTACCATGCTCTCTTCTTCAAGAGTTTATGTTGGCGGTGCTGTTAACCCAAGAGCATTATTGGGCGCCAGAGTTCACAATAATTTTGTTGGCTGTTTGAGAAAGGTAAGTTGATATTTGGATTTGATTCAACCTGAAGATTTAAAGGAAGTATATAATTTCGGAGAGAAATGGCTTTTTAATCTTTGGATCCTGAGTTCCAAGCCTATTTGAAATGTATTGAGATGTGCCAAGTCTGAATGGAATCGGATATTAATTTCGCATTTTATGAGTTTCATTGATACTCAACATGTGTGGGAGGTACCAGAAGGAGTGGACCGATATATCCTATATATACAGTAGATCTTGTGATAGTAGGAATATGTGATGTTTGAAATATGAAGAGAACAGGATGCTTATTTCGAATTGAATAATCGTTTTGGTTATTCGAAATTTTGACTATCTGTGGGGGAGGTAGTAGAAGGAATGGTCCGATCCCCACCATCTGTACAACATATCTTGTGTTGTAGAAATATTGAGATATACCGAGACTGAATAGAATCGGATAATAATTTCGCGTTTTATGAGCTTCATGGATATTCAAAATTTTGACCCTTTGTGGCGAGGTACTGGATGGAGTGGAGCGATATTGTCCATTTTTGCACCAGACCTAGCACTGATGCAAATATGAGCGGACCGATATTGTCCATGTCCGAACTCGATCTAGGTTTGGCAATAATATTACAATACACCAAGCTTGGATCAAATCGGACACTCCCTTTGAGAGTTATCGTGCACACCAGCCAGACAGACAGACGGACGGACGGACATCGCTAGATCGACTCCAAATATCCTGAAACGAATATGGTCCAAAGAGACCTAGGGTGTAAAACCGTTATTTCGATGAAGCATGTTTTTGGCCGTACCAAACTATAGGGTACATATCTATCCGTATGGCTCAGGGTATAAAAACTCATCAAATTTGTCCTCCTATAGCATAAAAAAGTTCGGTTTAAATGAGTACAACTCGGCCGCGGATGTTTTTTGATAATTGTCTCACTTTTAAATCTCTCGCTCTATTTACAGGTTGAATTCTCGGCGGACACTTTACTTTTAAATCTAATCGACTTGGCAAAAAGTGGCTCCAAACTCATTCAGGTGGCTGGAAATGTTGAATATCAATGTCCTGTTGGCGACCCTCAAGATCCTGTAACCTTTACAACACGGGAATCTCATTTGGTAGGTGGTCTCAGAACATTCCATTTCACAGAAGTATTATTTTATGAAAACATACACCTCTCTCTTAGGTTTTACCGCCCTGGGAAACTGGCAAACAAAGTTCCATTTCATTTAAATTCCGCACCAAAGAACCAAATGGTTTGATTATCTTGGCAACTGGATCCAAGCAACCCAGGTCGAAAAATGTAAGTTTTTGAATTCGAAAATTCCAAATAAATATATCCCTATTTTATTTTTTGTCGGTTTGCAGCCGGTTCTCTTTGCTATTGAGCTGCTGAATGGTCACATCTACATTCATCTGGATTTGGGTTCGGGCGCAGTCAAGGTTCGTGGCTCTCGCCGCCGAGTAGATGATGGCGATTGGCATGATTTCACTTTGAGACGCAATGGTCGTGATGCTAAAGTTAGTGTCGACGGGGTCTGGAATGATTTCCGTACACCGGGTGAGGGCACTATTTTGGAATTGGATGGCCATATGTATGTGGGCGGTACTGGGCCCGCCTATAACAATGCCAATTGGCCGCCAACTATTTGGACGGCAACATTGCGTCAGGGTTTCGTCGGTTGTCTGCGTGACTTGGTGTTGAGCTCGAAACAAATTGACATTGCGGCCTATGCCAGGTTACAGGACTCGGGTAAGTTGGGAGGGAGAGGGATATATACTTTCAGAATATTTGACGGAATTTAATGGATTTTCAGCTTCTGTGAAGCCCTCCTGTCATGTTCAGGCCAATGTTTGTGCCGGCAATCCCTGTTTGAATGGTGGTACATGCGTTGAAGGCTGGAATCGACCCATTTGTGATTGTACCTCGACCCTGTATTATGGACCAACGTGTGGACGCGAATCGGCTACTTTGGTGTTCAACGGAACCCAACACATGACCGTGTGGCTGGGTAATGGCCAAGGTACCAAAACCCAGACGGAAGAGCTACTGCTACGTTTCAAGACCAGCAGACCCACTGGTCTTTTGCTAATGACCAGTGCGGAATCGAATTCGCCCGATCGCCTCGAGATAGCCTTGGTTGCGGGCCGGATACGTGCCAGTGTAAGACTGAGTGATCGTGAAAAGGCAAGTAAACGAGTGTGAAAGGGAGGAAGAGAGTGTAGAATATTATTTTAATTTTGCATATTTGTCTTTCTCTTTGTTTGTTTGCCCTTCTCTTTGCAGAACCTTTTGGCCGGCCAATCCGTTTTAAACGACAACAACTGGCACACCATTCGTTTCTCGAGGCGTGCCTCAAATCTGCGTCTACAAGTTGACGGGGCTCCCCCTGTCAGGGGTATGTTATGTATGTATCACCAGCACTTTAATTGCCCTACTACGTGTCGTGCCGTGTCGTTTTTTTAAATCTAAATTTTTTCATATCAAATTCCCAAACAAAACCCAACAAAATCAAATGATGAAGAGAAATGTCCTTCTCAAGAAAATAAGAAAACCCCCAAAAAATTGACCACCATTTGCGCATCCCAATCAAAAAACTGAAAGAAAAAATTAGCTAGGGTTACTGCTTGCGCCTTTTCTTTTCGTACAACGTATCCACCATCCATGTAAATATAAGGTGTCCTTTTCTTTTAAGAAAAAATACAAGCCAATCTCAATATGCAGTTTAACGTTGTGTTCTCCCCGACCTCCCCCAACAGGCGGGTGAACTTTTGTGCAAGTCCTTCGTGTTGTTGTTTTCATTGTGGACTTTAGTAAACTCTTTCGTGTAAATATAAATCTTTAATTTTGTAAAAATTTCGATTTACAACACCAACAATACAAGAGAAAAACTTTGATTTTTCGCCTTGGTTAGTTTTGCCAGAAAAAAAGAAAAAGTAAATGTACCCACATAAATAAATATCTATAATTATTATTATTTTTTGTTGGTACGGCAGAACCGCCAAAAGCAACAACAGCCAATTTATTTTTTTTTTTTCAAAATATTACTATTATTAATGTGCAGTCATAAAACATACTTTTGAAACTTTTGTCTGTATCTATATATTTAAATATTGGTATATTGTATGTATATCTTGGTGTATATATTCTTAAAAAAAACATTTACACTGTACATTATTATAGTTAGGACAATTTTTTTTTAAATTTTGCAATAAGACGAACTCAATTTTTGATAAGATTTCCATTTTATTCAGAACTAGATTTTTTTAATCCTTACATTAAAAATATGGAGGCCTCTCACTGGCGAATTTCTATTATTTGAGAATAATTTAATTTATTTGAGTCAGCCTCTGACGATGAGGTTTAAACAAAAAATAATGGAACTGGCCACTAAAATAGCATCTAATATGCCTGATGAGCCGCTAGATTCCAATCTTAGCCGCTAGATTCCAATTTTCAATGTCATCTTCTTAGGTATTTAAAAGCTTAAATCGAAATGGAAAATTATCGAATAAAGCATTTTTATTTTTCTAAAAATTATGTTTCAAATTACAACCCTCCGTATTTCCATTTCATTTTTGCAACACAGTGTAATTTTATTCCATTTCAAGGCCATTGCTGAGACACATTTGAGAGTGCTGGCAAATCACAGCACCCAACACCTGTACAAGTGTTGTTGTATTCGTTTAACTGCTCCCTCTCTCTATCTCTCTCTCTCTCTCTCTCTGGCGCACTCCCTTTTGCTCATTTTCAAATAATTTTCATCATCCTGTTGATTTATGTGGCACTTTGCCACTGGCACGCACAGACTGCAAGCTAGCTAGAGGTGCGTTCTAATAAGTCATAAATTTCCTACATCTGCACTGACTAGTTTTGGGAGCATTTACAGCGACAACAACCACAACAACACCATCAGCAACAACTAAATTAAACAAGTTTTACTGGTAAATGCAAAATATGAAAATAGTTTCACATTAAAATATTGCAAAATGGCCATCTGACACGAAATGGGTGCTGTTGTAATTGAATCCAGTCACACTTTTGTCCTCCAGCAGATTTTTTTTTGACAAAAATTAGAAAGAAAGAGAAAAAAGTGAGAAATGTAGCTACCAAGACTTGCATTAACATTCATAAATTAGAATTAAATTTCTTGCGAGGAGGTCAACTGATGCAGTTTTCATTTGCATATTTTTCCAATTAACTTTCAATGAATTATGATGACAGTTCTCTTGGTGTTTTAGAAAAAAAAGAAAAACAACTTTCTATATTAACAGCGATACATTTTTATCTTGCCGGAACATTGGAACATTTATAAGAATAATAACTAAATGCCGAATGGCCGATAAATGTCTGCACAATTTAAAGCAAGCTGAGCGGACCTTTAGTATAGGCGTGTGGAAAGTACGACCAAATATATGTTTCGCCGAAAGTCCAGATTTAGACACGGACATTTGGAATGTCCAAGCGATGTCCGTCCGTCTATCTGTCTGGGTAGCTGGTGCACACGATAACTCTAGACGGAATATCCGATTTGATCCAAACTTTGTACATCGTAATATTATTATCAAACATAGATCGAGTTCGGAGTTTGGCAATATCTGGCACCTCCCCCACAAAATTTCGAAATCAAAAAAAAAATATTTTTCTGCACAGAGAGAGGAAGTATAACCCCATTTTGCTCCAACTTTGCAAGTCTTAATATTTGCGAAAATTGATAATATTGGTCCACTCCTTCTGGTACCTCCAACCTAAAAAATCCAAATTTTGAATTATTATAACTTTTATAAAATGTGATTTAAGTGTCCGATTGTCTTCAAATTACACACATCACAATATTTTCATTAACCCAAAACCCGGTGTTAACATGAAATATATCACTCCTTCCGGTACCCCCCCCCCCCCACAAACGGTCAAAATTTTGATTATCCATGAAGCTAATAAAACGCTAAATTAAGATCCTAATCCATTTAGAATTGTAACATCTCAATATTTCCATAAAAACAAGATCTGTTATAAAGATGGTAGAGATCGGAACATCCCTTCTATTATCTCCCCCACAAAGGGTTAAGGTTTTGAATAGCCAAAACAATCATAAAATCCGAAATAAGCATCCGGTTCTCAGCAAATTACACACATCACAATGTTTTTATTAACTCAAGGTCTGATGTGAAGATAGAATATATCGGTCCATTCCTTCTGGTACCTCCCCCACAAATGGTCAAAATTTTGAATATTCATGAAGCTAATAAAACACTAAATTAAGATCCCAATCCATTCAGAATTGGTACATCTCAATATAATTATATATTATTATATTATCAATTATAAAGATGGTAGAGATCGGACCATTCCTTCTGGTACAACCCCCACAAAGGGTCAAGGTTTTGAATAACCAAAACGATCATAAAACCCTAAATAAGTATCCGATATCTGGTACCTCACTCATATTTAAACTTTTTGCTTAAAATTATCACATATTTCATACAAAGTGAAGGAAGTAACCAATATTGGCCAAACCTGGCACGTCGCAATATTTATATCATATTTATTCAGGTCCGGTATGAAATGGACAATATTGGTCCATTCCTGGTGAACATGGATTATATCAGTCCATTCACAAAGCCATCGATTTAATTTGAATTTAGCATATTTTAAGCTTTCTTTAAGGTTGAGCGTGAAAATAGTCAACACTGACCCCAGCCAATTCGATACTTCTCCCACAAAATATCAAAATTCTAACAAAGAAATCAAATATTTCACACAAGGTGAAGTTTTACAAATTATTACAAAGTGAGAGTTCTGGTAAGAGAGAGCGAGAGAAAAGAGAAATTTTTACAGTTGAATTTCTGAGAGTCTCTCAGTTATTATCATCAATTGATTTTGTGGCCGATGTGGACAATTTCAGGCAATAATTTAAAAATCTTTCAGAAAAAAATTCTAAATCGAAGACTATTCAATATCTAATTTTTCTCCATACAAATTACAATTTTGATAAAAATTTCTCAACCCTTAAAATTATAAAGCATACATTTTGAAAATTGAAATGAAATGAATTTTGAAAATTGTCCAACGTAGATCAGTTGCGATGATGGAATAAAACAGTGTCAATATTTTTCCAATTTGGAACGAATCGTGATTTACTTATCAAACTTGATTAAAAAATATGGAATAATGAGCCAATTGACATTTGGATCTCCGTCATAGATAGCCAATAATTTCCAAAGATTTTGTTTAGACTTTGAAATGTTAAATATAAAAATATTAAAAAAAAGAAAATACAAAACATGTCGAACAGTGTAAATGAATTAGGAATATATGCACATACCAAATATGAATATATTTATGAGTTCGTGTTTTTTTCAATATTTATTTACCCATTTTTAAAATGCTTTCATTTTCAGTTGTTCGTGAGGAAACTTTTGTTATTCTTTTACATTAATCTTTTAGTTGGAATTTATTATATTTTAATATTATTATTTAAACTCAATATTGTTCTGTACAAATGTTTTTTCCACAAACAACAAAAACAAAAAAGAGCTACTCTAAATGGTATTTTTGTTCAACTAAACTTCTCTCTCATTGTCCCAAGTAGTTGTTGAAAGCATTATTAACAGAACAACAAATTACAAAACTATATCCCCTCGCTCGACTAAAAAAATAAAACCAACAAGAAACAAAAAACAAAAACATTCAGAATTTTTAGCCCAACCACAACAACAACAACAATAACAATTCACAGACAAAGAAAACTACCAGTCATACAATTCGAGAGTTATCCAACATTTAAATGTGTGTTGCATTGACATTTGAATATTTAATTCGAAAATGAACAAGGCCAATTTTAATTTGTGTTTTTTGTTTTTCTTATTCGACATTACTCTGCTGTTTTGAAATTGTGATTTTTATGTTTTGATTCTTGTTTTGTCACTTGTTTCCGTAACATTTGTGAGACACCCACATATCCCTGCCCGAGTACTTCAAATTCGACGACGAGAAAGTCAGTGACATTGTGCAATTGGAAATGTTGTGTCATGTACATCCGCTAACATCCACACCCGCCTTCCTTGAGTGAATCCTGGCTCCTTCCATAGCGCTTGAAACAAACCCCTCCCCCCAAAAAAAGATGAGTTGCAAAATTCCATCTGTTTTGCGGCCATTGAACTACAAAAGTATTGTTGGTCCTTATGCTAATCTTGTTATTTGCCGCGTGCCCTCAACTCCCCCTCGCCCCTCATTCATTGCTGTTTGTTGCTAGCCAAACCAGAAACCCTACCTCTAACCATAACCCCATTTTCCCATAAGCGTTTAACCGTCCATTGTTCATACCCCTCCCCCCCTTTGAATGTAACGGGACATTGAATTTGGAAATTACATTTTCTTTGTATTCCTATCGACAAGTTTTGTAAA